TTAAAATAAGGAAACTTCCAGGATGTTAACATCACGTCTAAGAACATTTTTACAACACATTCAGAAGCTGAGGGTGAAATTTTTGCTCCACTTTTTGATTTTTTGGGGGGAAACTGTCTCCAAAAGCGAATCTCAGCCATTTCTAATGTGAATATTTATCTGTACGTCCAACAACCTGCCAGGGTTCATAGCGGATAGAAAAGCTTTACTTGACCAGTTCTTGATTTTGCTCATCAGGTTCATCAGGTTGGATCCTTTTCCACCTACATCTGGACAACAGAGTTTGTTGGCAGCAGCAGCAGCAGCTCGACCTGCACCCGGCCGGAGGAATTCCCCCGCTGTGGGAAATCTCAGCGCTGCCACCACCAACCATTTCGATTTCTGTTGTGGTTCCTGTTTGCCTGCTCGGTTTGGCACGGGTTTTTCTAAATCAGTCTAGTAGAAGACTCTGTCTCCGCCGTAGTTCTGTCCTATAAATACGCAGCTTCCTCTTACGGCCTGCTGTTTGTTTTTTTTCCCTATGACTCATCGTGTCGTCGACACCTTTCCCCTTCCTGCTCGCATACCTGCAGCATCACCACCGTTTCAGACTTTAGTTCAGTCATCGAAGAAACATGTAAAGTGCTGACATCACACACATACGGCTGCATTTCTGCTCTACTTTACAATAAAGACACACACTGTGCTTTAATCCCACACACCATCCTGCTGCCCAAACACATCCGCCGCTGAATATAGTCCTCGATAAATGACCGACTTCCTCCGCCTTAAGTGGCGTTTGCTAAAAGCTGCAGAGGTCGAGGCTTTTAGGAAGCTACCGAGCCCTCTTCAAAATAGAAACGATCCGTTAGTGTTTAAAAAGTGGGACAGAGACGGGAAGTGAGGCGGCGTCGACCCGCTGGACCCGGGCAGCTTCTGGACCACTTATCTGTTCCCGTCACGCTGATGTTGTAGCGTGGGCATATAAACTCCTGATGCTCCGTGGAAACACACCAAGGACAGAGAACTCAGTCGGAAATCATTAAAAAAGTTGAATTTCTTTGATTATTTGTTTTTAAAAACTGAGAAAAACTAATTTACAACTTAGAACAGGAGATGTTCCACCGTGCCGGATGTATCGGCTCCTCTGGTCACGTTCTGACATCATATCAGAGAATGTTCTCGACCACGTTCTGCAGGTTTCATTCATGTTTGACACATTAAGTCGCTTTGGACGGATTTTCAGTCATTTTAGACGATTTTCAATAATTCAGGAGAAAATCGAACCATTTTGGACAAATTCTGGACAAACTTTGAGGCATTTAGGACATTTTAGACGTTTCGTTTTCAGACATTAAGACAAGTTTATATCGTTTTAGATGATTTTCAATTCTTCTGGAACAATTTTGGACAAATTTTGAAGCCGTTTTTCACAGTTTTCTAAATCATTGTGGACAAGTTTCCAGGTTTCAGTCACTCTGGACAAAATCTGACTCCTTTTGAACAATTTTTAAAATGATTTCAGTTCAAGTTTAAGCCATTTTGGACACATTTACAGTCATTTAAGACATTTTTCTTGATTATTCAGTAGAACTTTTAATCCTTTTGGGCAAATTTCGAAGCCATTTTCGACATCAGTTTGTACAACTTTCAATGTTTCAGTCATGTTTGAGTCATGTTTGAGTCATGTTTGAGTCATTTCGGTCTCAGCTGAGTCAGTCACGGCTGTTGTATTGTGCCGAGTAGAGCTGAATTTTTTAGTTTTTTACAGAATCTACTGATAGCAAATGGTTATTTTTAGCATTTTTTTTTTAAATGACGCGCAGAATAAAGTTATTCTTAATTAAATATTATGATTTTAAGGCTCATACTCGTGGCAGAACTGCATGATTAGGTCGAGGACACTTTAGAAGTTGAAAATCCTGCATTTTTTTCTGTTTTTACAGGTTCTTGCTCTGATAAACGGCGTAATTTCAGTATTTTCTGTAAATGAAAACACGCCTTTCAAAGCTGTGATCAGGTTTTTGGCTTCAGAGGATTAAAAGACAGATTCATAGACATTTTATGGCATTTGCTGATGTTAATAAAATACAGAAAAGTACCAGAATATACTTTTGTATACTACAAAATATATAAATTAGACCTTTTTAAAACTTTTATTATATTTTTTATCACTGAGCATTAAATAGACGCACCGTTATGCTTCACTTTGGCATGAAAGAGTCTTTATTTTGGAAAAACTCTAATTAAAAAAATGTGGTTCAAGCAAACATCATTTTAGCAAATTTTTAAATGACGCATGTGGAATAAAGTGATTTTGAATAATCATTATGATTTTAAGCTCAGATTTAGTTCAAGGACTCTCTGAAAGTTGATAAAGTGAGGATTTTGTCTGTTTTTACGGGTGATAAACGGTGTAATTTCAGTATTTTTTGTAAATGATAACACGCCTTTCAAAGCTGTGATCAGATTTTGGGCTTCAGGGGGTTAAAAAAAAAGCAGAACAAGTCCCAGATTTGATCTTTGTAGCCATCATTTAACAATAACAGAGTCACAAGCAGGCGCTGACTTGAAAAATGTCCAAACGTGAGACGTGAAAGAGTTGGCAGCTGAAAATCAGACGCCTGCAGCTTCTCTGATTGTTTGGTGTCGTAACTCACAAATAACAATCAGGAGCGTCCTCAGAAACACCGTCAGACCAAAGCTTCAAGTCCCTGCACGCTGGTGTTCAGACCCAAGTGCTCGTCAAAGCTGCCAGTCGATTACTACCTTCTAAACTTCAAAATAAAGGTTTGACACCCGGAGTGCTGATAGCCTCGGCTCTGCCTGGACGGCTGCCGTGTTCGGCCTCACCTGTGGGTTGTCCATGTACCACAGCAGGCTGCCCTGCTGCGTGTCCAGGATGAAGTAACGGCGGAGGAAGCGGCCGCTGCTCTCGTTCTCCTCGATGTCCAGGAAGCCGCAGATGCGATTCTGTCGGTCCACGTAAGGCATCGCAGCACCGAGCAGCTCAGCCCGCCGTCGGGCATCACAGGGACTCTGCAGGGAGGCGGGAGCTCAGGTTAAAGGTGGTACAGGTGATACAGGAGGTCAGGTTAAAGGAGGTACAGGTGGTACAGGTGTTAGAGGCGTTACAGGTGTTGGAGGAGTTTAGGTTAAAGGTGGTACAGGTCATACAGGTGATAGAGGTGTTGGAGGTGTTACAGGTGTTGGAGGTGATACAGGTGATGTGATCTGAGCTTTCGAGATGCAGAGAGGCTGTTTGTTGTCAACATCACTGTAGACGAGGAGATGGACGCAGTGATTCATGAGATTTAAATAAAGTTTGAATGAATAAATACATGTTTGCAATCAAACTAACCTAAATATTGGTTGTTTTTTTTTGTTTTTTTAACTATTTCTTGGTTTTAGTTTGAATTATTTCCGACCACATAAATTGCGAAAAAAAATAAGTTTTTTACTGTGATTCTCGTGAACAATTACAAATTATTTTCCAGCATATATAACATGTATTTGTTTTACGCACTGTAATTTGTCCTTCTTCAACATTTGACTATAAAACTACACGATTTTTATTGTATTTAATTTATTTTACACATATGAAACTGTTTTTAATTGTTACTTTACAAATAGTCCTGCTTTAATCAACTACACATATCTGGTAAAAATCACAGAAATTATATTAAAGATGTGTGCCGTCATTTGAACACAACAACAACAAAAAACATAAAGGATTTAAAAATGGGAAATAATAGTCATAACTGTAATTTTACTGAATTCTCTTATTTTGTTAAATTACAGATACTTTCTAATAAAATCACAGAAAAAAAGTATAGATTTTAATTTACAAAAAAAAGCCCAAAACTCCATCATGTCAAAAAATCTGTTCAAAAACGTTCATTTGACAGTAAAACGTTGTTTTATTGTGTAAAACATAAGCAAAGAAATCTGCTGTTATTAAAAAAAAAAAAAAAAAAAGTATATTAAGGATTAATGCCTAAACAAAACATTGAACAATAAAAATCTGTAGTTTTCTCTCAAATGTGTGACTGTAAAGTGACCTAGTTTTACTGTATTTAAATTCACTAAAAATATAATTATTTTACAGATATCTTCTTTTATTTTCACTGTTTTCACAGTATTTCATCGTTTTAAACATACTTTTGCAGCCAGACTTTTACAGATTTTTGTGATTATTTTTTGAGCCAAACTGAAGCCGGAGCAGATGGACACGGTGCCGTTTCCCCACATTTCTGTTCACGTGAGGATTAAACGAACCGTCTCGTATTTTTACACTCAGACTGTTTCNGCTGTGTGTGATCAAAGAGGAAGCAGGCAAAAGGAACATAAATAAAAACTCACCAAAGCAGAACTCTGCCTTCGGTCTGAGTTTGGTGGCATCGCTGACCTGAGCAAGAAAACAAAGCTTTAAATCTCATACATTTACTGCAAGTCTACTGGAAACAAAGCAGAATATTAGAGCTATCACCACATATTTGATTTAATCTGATCAAACTGATGCTGTTGAAAGTGGCTATAACACATCTGAGCAGCTCCTGTCTGTAACGTCCAGACAACACATCACTGCTGCAGAAAACTTAAAAACGTGAAACTTCTCGGGGAACTCATGAAGCATCAGGTCTTCTAACTGTTTGTCCATTAACCCTCTGAGTCTGTGAAGCTGCCGGAGCGCTCACCTTGGAGATATAGGTGAGTTTGAGAGATCCCATAATGTCTGCACCGGCGGGCAGGTTCTGAACAGGAAAAGACGAAAAACATCACGGTTAGCTTCGTCGCTGTCGTTTGTACGAACAGCAGAACAAGAAGTAAAAGCAGCAGTGAAGTCAAACCAGGACGTGGTTTGTTGCTGCAGCTGGTCGACACAGATGTGAGCGATAATCAGGCTGGAAATCAGTCATGCTAATTACATACATGTCTATTTATATACAGCACAGTATGGTGCACATTTTACATCACTGGGATTTTCTCACAATTATTAATCAGGACAAGATAAAAGTTTCCTATGAACCATTAGACAAGATCACCAATTCATCTGTTTTCTGGATTAATCAAATATTTCGTCTATAAATCGTCGGAAAATGGTGGAAAATGTAGTTTACTGTCATTGAGGAGGAAAGAAATCACATTAAAGAAGCTGCAATCACAGAATTTGGACTAAATTTAAGACTTAAGCCGATTAATTAATCATCGAAAACAGTCAGCAATTAACTTAATAGCTGACAACTCATTAATTAATCCTTGTAGGTCTTATTTTCACACAGCATCATCGTGGTCTTTGGTTAAAAAAAAATACATAATTGATATAATTTGGCTTTTTTCAAACAAAAATATCAATTAATTAAAAATATAAAGCATCAAAATTAATAAATCATTGGATAAGTATTTATCTCCTTCAGGTGAATTCAGCTGCGACACCGTTCTGCTTTACTTTGACATTAAAGAGTCTTTTAAAAGTATTATTCTTATCAACAAACTAAAGTTAATTCACCATGATTTAATGCTGGAAAGCAATTCTTAAAATAAGGAAACTTCCAGGATGTTAACATCACGTCTAAGAACATTTTTACAACACATTCAGAAGCTGAGGGTGAAATTTTTGCTCCACTTTTTGATTTTTTGGGGGGAAACTGTCTCCAAAAGCGAATCTCAGCCATTTCTAATGTGAATATTTATCTGTACGTCCAACAACCTGCCAGGGTTCATAGCGGATAGAAAAGCTTTACTTGACCAGTTCTTGATTTTGCTCATCAGGTTCATCAGGTTGGATCCTTTTCCACCTACATCTGGACAACAGAGTTTGTTGGCAGCAGCAGCAGCAGCTCGACCTGCACCCGGCCGGAGGAATTCCCCCGCTGTGGGAAATCTCAGCGCTGCCACCACCAACCATTTCGATTTCTGTTGTGGTTCCTGTTTGCCTGCTCGGTTTGGCACGGGTTTTTCTAAATCAGTCTAGTAGAAGACTCTGTCTCCGCCGTAGTTCTGTCCTATAAATACGCAGCTTCCTCTTACGGCCTGCTGTTTGTTTTTTTTCCCTATGACTCATCGTGTCGTCGACACCTTTCCCCTTCCTGCTCGCATACCTGCAGCATCACCACCGTTTCAGACTTCAGTCATCGAAGAAACATGTAAAGTGCTGACATCACACACATACGGCTGCATTTCTGCTCTACTTTACAATAAAGACACACACTGTGCTTTAATCCCACACACCATCCTGCTGCCCAAACACATCCGCCGCTGAATATAGTCCTCGATAAATGACCGACTTCCTCCGCCTTAAGTGGCGTTTGCTAAAAGCTGCAGAGGTCGAGGCTTTTAGGAAGCTACCGAGCCCTCTTCAAAATAGAAACGATGCGTTTGTGTTTAAAAAGTGGGACAGAGACGGGAAGTGAGGCGGCGTCGACCCGCTGGACCCGGGCAGCTTCTGGACCACTTATCTGTTCCCGTCACGCTGATGTTGTAGCGTGGGCATATAAACTCCTGCAGCTCCGTGGAAACAGAACAAGGACAGAGAACTCACAGTCGGAAATCATTAAAAAAAAAGTTTAATTTCTTTGATTATTTGTTTTTAAAAACTGAGACAAACTACTTTAGAACTTTTCATTGGACGGGTGCTGGTTACAGGAGACGTGCCGGATGTATCGGCTCCTCTGGTCACGTTCTGATGTCATATCAGAGAATGTTCTCGACCACGTTCTGCAGGTTTCATTCATGTTTGACACATTAAGTCGCTTTGGACGGATTTTCAGTCATTTTAGACGATTTTCAATAATTCAGGAGAAAATCGAACCATTTTGGACAAATTCTGGACAAACTTTGAGGCATTTAGGACATTTTAGACGTTTCGTTTTCAGACATTAAGACAAGTTTATATCGTTTTAGATGATTTTCAATTCTTCTGGAACAATTTTGGACAAATTTTGAAGCCGTTTTTCACAGTTTTCTAAATCATTGTGGACAAGTTTCCAGGTTTCAGTCACTCTGGACAAAATCTGACTCCTTTTGAACAATTTTTAAAATGATTTCAGTTCAAGTTTAAGCCATTTTGGACACATTTACAGTCATTTAAGACATTTTTCTTGATTATTCAGTAGAACTTTTAATCCTTTTGGGCAAATTTCGAAGCCATTTTCGACATCAGTTTGTACAACTTTCAATGTTTCAGTCATGTTTGAGTCATGTTTGAGTCATGTTTGAGTCATTTCGGTCTCAGCTGAGTCAGTCACGGCTGTTGTATTGTGCCGAGTAGAGCTGAATTTTTTAGTTTTTTACAGAATCTACTGATAGCAAATGGTTATTTTTAGCATTTTTTTTTTTAAATGACGCGCAGAATAAAGTGAGTTTTAATTAAATATTATGATTTTAAGGCTCATACTCGTGGCAGAACTGCATGATTAGGTCGAGGACACTTTAGAAGTTGAAAATCCTGCATTTTTTTCTG